GCCACTGGACAATTTTAAGTATGCTTTAAGTAGGTGAATGGCCTATTCTTTTCATATTTTGAAAAGATCACTCTGCATAATACATGGAGAAAGGACTATAAGGGGATGTAAGTGAATGCAGGAAAATCAATTAGGAGGCAAACTGCAGAGGTCCAGACAAGAAAGAGATTATATGGCCCAGACCTTGAAGGAGGAGAGATGGATGGATTAGGGTTACATCTGGGAGGCGAAGTCAAAAAGATTTGAATTCGATGAGAGATGTGAGAAAAAGAAAGATATCAAGGATCATTCCAAGAATCTTGGCTTAAGTATTTGAATGATGCAGCACCAGTAATTTAGATGGCTTGTGGGGAGTTAAGAATTCTGCTGTGGACACAGTGAAGGCAGTTCTAGGGTAACCAGGGTAGCCTGATGGAAGATGCTTAAGTATGTGTGAGAGAGATGGATGCAGGAGGAATTAGGACATACAATTAACTGACAGGTGTGATTAGATATTAGGGTGAGGGTTTTGAGAACTTCAGGTTTTGAGTCTGAAGAGGTGGAAAGGAAGCAATTCCATGAACCAAAATTGTAGAAGAGTGGGAGAAGTTTGGCACAGAGAAGGATTAATGAATGCCAGGAATCATGAAGAAATTCCCATCTGAACGGTGGATAAGGGTACAGGCTTTGGAATCTGAAAGACTTGGGTTTGAATCCTAGATGAGCCATTTACCCAACCTGTACCAAGTTGCTTTATTGCTCCAGCCTCAGTTTCTAGTCTATAAAATGAGAAAAATGATTTGGTAATGATAAGACAGTGATAAAGATCAAATGAAATGATAGATGTAAATGCTTAATAGATAGAAATCAGTCACTAATCATTATTATCACTATCTCTTATAATTACCATTATAATAATAGCAAAGAAATAATAATAATACATCTTGGGATGTGTTTCATTTATATGGATTATGACTAAGATAATAATGTTCTGGTTATTAGTTCCTTTTAAGTAAGGCTTGCAAGGATATTAACCCAGTATTTAGATTCAATACTTTTTTTTTCTGTATTTAACTATCAAAACAAATTGCAAATTATTTACTTTTCCCACTTTACAGATCAATAAACTTAGGTTCAGAAAGGGTAACATGTTCAAGGTGGCACAGCTGGGGACTGTAGTCTACCTGGAAGAGCCAGGACTCACACGTAGATCAGACTTGCTTGGAATAATTCTGAACTCTTCCCCACCAGTCATGAGTAAGATAAAATCACCTTTGCATCACTGTGCCAGTTTTCTGGGATCTGTGCTGAGTGAATAAATGCTGTTTTATAAAAATGTTATTAGCAAACCACCACCATGGTTATCAAAGTGTCTCATGGCATTTTCCAGTGCCGGACAGTGTTCTGCCCAAGGCCTGTCTTTGGAGGACGTGAGGAGAAGCCTTCAGTTCTCACCCATTGACAAATACGGTAAGTGTACAGATTCTTCAGATGGATTCAGGAAACTACCCCTAGGAAGGTGGTATCTATCTGATAAGGAGGAAAAGAAGGTTCTATTTTGTGGTAACTAGAAATGAAGGGTGCTTTATGGATATTATATTATAAAAGTGCAAACTTCAATTTTGTAAGTCATCTAAGTGTACATTTATTTACCTTTGTGCTGAATAATGTGTGCATAAGTGTGTAAGTCTACATGCAAGTATGTAAGAGTGTGTGTGCATATGGAAAAAAGTACAGCTCTTTTTTGAAGATAATCTCTTGCATCTCATGACATCCCAAACACCTTGTTGCTTCCTTATTGAGTCCACTGCCTCTCAGCCTCACCTCGCAGGGCACATAGGGAGGGAAGAGAAGAGATGCATCTCCACAGTTACATCGTTATTCTGGGGGAGCACTTCCTCTTTAGCAAGTACTTGAGAGTATAATGTAACCGTGGTTATTCATTCAAAAAAGCTGGAGAGAAGGTGAGGGTATCACAGATGGGATCCATTTTGCACAGGTCTGCTTTAGAAAGAATCAGTAAATCTCTTTGAAATTGTAACACAGTTACTATGTTCGCTCCTGGAAGCCAGAGGAGGGGCCACTCCCCTTATCATCAGCTGCCATGTTCATGTGCCAGGCTTATGATGTCCTTTCTCCAGTCTCTAAGACAGAGAGGTTCTGTATTTAATTAGAATTTTAGTACAGTGAGCTCATTTATTTATGGGAACTTCCTTTGAGATTATAGAGGACTGAAAAAAAGTATGTCCGTTAAAGAGATCAGATTTATTACAAGAACGGGGTTTGTGGAAGAATAAATTGGATGGTGTGTTCCCGGTTCTCTTATATAGATGGCAATAGACCCCACAGCTTTGCACCTGTCCGCGGAGTATCATTACCTAAGGCATTAGGAAATCTTTAAGAAAGAAAGAAAAAAAATTGTTCTGGATAGATACAACAAGCTACTTGGGAACTTTAAAGAAAGGAAACTCTATGCTTCTGACTCCCAGTACGTGTCCAGGATGCAGCCGAGTGCTCTTTATCATCAGGTTTACAACGTAATTGGCCAGTCCAGTAACAGGGGAAAATGTGCTCAAAGTGTCACATCATCACATTTTTTATAGATATAATATCGTTTTTCCAAGCCTTTACAGATGTGACCGCACAACCACAAAATATAGGGCACCCTTTGAAATGTGTGCTTTGACCAGAAATCTTCCCTTTCATGATGGAGTTTCAAGATGAAGCATTTCTTTAACTTAACGATCTGTTTCTTAATAGGATAAGACTTTTAGCAGAATTCCTCAAGATGGAGAAGTTAGGAAAAATGATGCAATAATACAAAAGTAGGGTTTTCCTATGCATAGCTGTACCAGGAGTACAAGAAAACACTAGGGTGTTTGAATGGAGTGAGAGCCCCAACAGGCGAAGAAGATATGTTCCATATCTCCCACTAGGACCATCTCATCGCACAAGAAAGAATCCTTTAATTGCCCTTCATTTCCACCCCATAAACCAGTTGTGGTATAACAGCAACTTTATGAACTGTTTCTTATTTTTTCTCCCCCAGAGAGCAGGGCTGGAGAACGATTTAAAAATTAAGTACATAGCTGTACTTTAGACCTTTCACCCTGAAGTACCAAAAGGTGCAGACATGGTTCAGTCTTTCCTTGAAGGGTGCGGTCATATTTCACTTGTCCCTCTTAAGCTGAGTGGCTGCACAAAGACAATGCGTTTGTCCTTCAGCTCTGGAGATGATGGCACCAACGACAAATGTCAGCATCTGTGCCCTGCTGATTTTGCTACCCATCCCGGAAGGAGACCCGCCAGCCCTGGAGGGACACAGGCTCACAATAAGGTTTCCTTTGGAGATCTTTGGGGAGAGGCAGGGAGCACCTGAGGCCAGTAAAACTGCATGTTGTACATTAGAAGGTTGCGTATGGTAATGAAAGGATGACGAGCTTATTAAAGCATCTATCTATGCCCGGGAGAAAGTTGCAGTTTCGGGCTGGACAAAGGGAATATTTTTGCTCTAAGATGTAGGTGGTTTTTGTTCACCCAGAATTAGGATTCGGTAATGTGTATCCTGCTTCCCCATGCCTCAGCCTCCCCGCACCACAACCTTCCTCACTTCTGACCAGGGCCAGACCTGCTTGCCAGCAACAGAGGACAGTGGGCAGCAGTGGCACCTCCTCCTGGAGAGTTTATGTGCTGCCTAAGAGATTCTGACAGAGACCTTTCTGATGAAAATAAATACGCCCATCGAGCTGCATATTGCTAGATGTCATGATGAAAATGTGGATGGCTGAGTTGGTTTGGAAAACTCAGCTATCAAAGGGGAGCAAAAGCAGCAGTAGTTATTGACAAATGTGCCCATTTTCCCAGTAGCAATGAGCAGCCTCCTTACTCAGAGAGGGAAGGTGACGGCTTCCCTGCCCGTGTCCAGCCTTCTCTAGGACAGCGGCCAGATCCCAAGGCACCCGCTCAGTTCTTTGGACACACCCAGGGCTAGTGCTTCAATCAGTATCGAATGCCACTAGGATTCAGACCTAAGCACCGAGGTATGTCCAAGAATTGGACTCTCGGGGGGGTAAAAAAACAACCCAGCCAGAGCCCACCTGCTCTAGAGAGTACTCCCTCCTTTGTGTCTCTCACCATCTCCACCTTCCTTTTACAGCCATCATTTGCTTCCCACCCACTCTGTGTCAGACACTGTGCTAATTGTCTTCTGTGTGTTTCCAGCCTTACAACTGAGGACTTTTATTTTTCCCATTTACAAATGACGGCACTGAGACTTAGAAAGGTTAACAAAAGTCACAGAACCAGCAAGTAATGACGCAGGCTTTAAACCCAGACTTGCTGACACGAAGCCCGCATTTTTAGCCAGCGTGATAAAGCACCTTCCTAAACTGCACCCTTCTTTACTCCACACTCAGAATGTCACCTGGCCAGTTTGGGTTCAAACCAGACACCCATCACTGCTGTGCCTCTGGTCTCAGCGCTCTGTTTTCGTTTTAAATTTTGCTTTCGTTTTACAGCGGCTTGCCCGCAACTCTCGTCCGGGCTCTCTGTTCCCAGGAGCCTGGGGGAGATGCCTGGCCGCTGTGCATTGTACTGGGTGAGGCTGGCTGAGAAAAGCGGGGAGGTGGGCTGAAAGGCCAGTAAGTAACAGCTGAACTTCTTTCCTAATGCAGGCTACGTGTCTGATCCCCTGAGCCCGATGCATTTTCATCCTTGCCGGAATAGTGGCAGCTTTGAGGACAGCGGCTGACAGCATTCTGCATCTACCTACAGAGAGTTTTCCCCCAAACTGACAGCAACAATTCCAGCCATGGCAGGCTTGCTTCCAATTATAATATTTTACCCTCTAAGGTCTACTTAAATTGGCTTGTTTATACTGGTCCTGTTTAATTCCCTCCTACGAGTGGGGCTTTGGATTTGCAGCTAAGGAATGAAATGCAAAAGAACCAAAACAGGATGTATTTGAAGAATTGTTTTTAATTTTGTAAATAAAAGCATAAATTTATGCTGTTGCTTGGAGATGAAGCCTCAGTCCGTAGTAGGGATTTAACAATTATGTTTTCCTAGACTGGATCATGTAGACTTGTGTCAGAGAGCCACACGTTTGATTTCTCAGAATATTGTTCATTTTCTTGTCTCATGATGTTACTTCTAGTGTCCAGCTCTGTGATTAAAGATTCCTTAGTGATATACAAAATTGATTCAGAAGTGTATTTCATTCCAACCAGACTTCTACTCAGAACATACCTGCTTGCAGACATATTGGTAAAAAGAAATAATGACCTTCAGATCACGAAGCTTGCAGAAGTACAGCACTTAATTATTTGGCCTCTTCTGTATGTTGTACCAAGTGCTCTGTGCGCTGCCTGGGTAGCCTGCTGCTGTCAGCACCAAGGTGTCACAAACGCCATCGCTACCATTATGAAACCACCCCACGAATGCAAACCTGCCATTCATACCAGGTAGCTCAGGTGCCTGCTGCCTTCAGAAAATGAGAAATCTGCCCTCCATGCTCATCCCAACCAGGAAGACAGGGAAGGTTCCGCCAAACAGAATGCTTTTGCCATTGAAAGACAGACCTGGAAAAGCAGGCAGGGAGCCATGAAAATTCAGTGTCATAATCACTACTTTTAACCTTGGTAAGAGAAATAACATTAGTAAAGGAAGATTGGGCACCCTCCAAATCAAGGTTTCTGGATCTCGGCACCGTGGACAGTTTGGAGGGAATCACTCTTTGTGGGGCTGTCCTACGCACTGTAGGATGTTTAATAGCTTCCTGGCTTCTACCCCCACCCCACCCCCAGAGCCAGTAACAGCTCCCTAAATCACAACAATCAGAAATATCTCCAGACATTTCCAAATGTACTCTGGGGGTACAATCACCCCATTTTGAGAACCACTGTCCTAAATCCTGAGAGAACAAGTAGGGCCCGGAAGAGGAAGAGAAGGAATATAGAGCCGGACAGAGTGGCTGTATTTGGGCAAAACCTCTCTGTCCTCCTCACTGACGCGAACTCATATACAAACGGGACTGAAGAAGAGATGGACAGACTGCTCCTCCGATGTCTGTGACAAGCTCCTCCATCGTCCCCTCTTCCCTACCAATTAGAAACTGTTTCCTGTGGGCAATTCTGTCAGAACAGCAATCCCACCTCTAAATCCTTCTGAGCCTTTTCTTATGACCTGTGGTCACAAAGTTGAAAGTCCCCCCTAGTGCTCTGACTAGCTTGGCGACAGCCCAGTGCAAATGCAGAGGTAGAAGTTAAAACCCTGGTGCTTCCCATTAGATTTATCCTTTTTTAAGCCTCCAGCCTTTTCATGTCCCCGCCCAATTATTCAGTCACAGATACTCTATTCCCACCCAGCCAGTTGCCAAGGGACTTAATAATAAGCAGGACCAAGGAGCCTGAAGTGGCCATACAGGCAGAAAGCCTTCTGGCAAAGACAGAAAAAAGGGGGCTGGTTCAGGAGCACCTGTCTCCCTGCGGCTCTCTGTCTAGCCCTCTGCTCCCGCTGCTTTAGGAAATGAGCCAGCACCAGCTTGGGATACTTTGAGGCTTAGTCATTTTATGAGTTGAGTTGAAAGGAATACCTTAGAAAGTTAAAAAAATTTTTAAATACATACATACGCACCAATTTTAACTAAAAAATTCACAGTAGGTGTAATGCCTCACGTGTGTCTGATCAGGAGAGCACGGGGTAAAGCAGGCATCCTTCCAGGCGCCCTGAATGGAGGGCTCTGAATGACTGTTTGCCTCTGAAATACCCCTCTTTTAGAGAAGGCTTCTCTAGAACAAATTTGTCGAGCTCCCTTTCTTTGTTTCCTTTCATTAACCACCTCCTCTCTCCACATTGGATTTCCTTATGTTGCTGCTTCCTTCTGGCTCTTGTCTTGTCAAATATCTGCAAATAATGAGACTAATGTGTCTTGATGCCTGAGAAGGGGAACCTTTTCACAGATGCCAACCTACAGCTCACAAGCCCTATTCATTACTGCACCTTTAATGGGGCCCAGGGATCTCCATCTTAGAGCTTGTCTCCAGGCCGTGGGGGGAAGGGGAGGGCTGGGTGTTTTTTTTTTTTCCCCTCTCCTTGCTGAAAAAATGTCTCGCTAATTACTTTCTTTTTCTGCTGGTAAAAAAATGAACTTCTCTGATCATGTTTTTGCATGCTTAGCACATTCAATGTCTTTTCCACGTGCGTGCAGCACTGAGCTCACTTAGAAGATGTTCAATTAGCTATAATTGTAAGCCAAATTACAGCAGCACCAGGAGAGAGTTATTCCAACAGAGTGATTATCTGGGTTAAATTATTTCCAAAGCTGACATTTCCCTGGGAAAGAGGGAAAAATAGGTACCAGTAGTGCTAGTCAATCCATCTGAAATGAAGGGCCTGATTCCTTTCTGTCTCTTGCTGTCTGTCTTTCCTTCTTTAATTTCTTCTTTCTTTCCTTTCTTCCATCCTTCCTTCCTCCTTCTCTCCCTCCAACAATAAGCATTAACCTTGGAGTCACTCTAACCTTAGACAGTAGTTATGTGATCTTGGGTGTGTCACTTAACCTATCTGAGCTCCAGTTTATTATCTGTAAGATGGTGATAACAAAAATTATGTTATAAAGTTGCTGTGAGAATTGAAAATGATGCAAAGTGCATTGTACAGTTCCTGGGACACCACAGTAGATACTGTAAATGTTACTGTTCATTGTTACACTGCATCACCATGGAGCCAAAGAGCTGTTCTACAGGGGCGCAGGAGGAGGGGAGAGACCTTTTCCTCTCTTCTGTAAATAGCCATCAACATCCCTAAATACCCCACCTTTGCCAACAGCAAACTGCCAAGCTTATGCTTCTGAGGCAGTTTGAGCCAAGAGCCATCAGGTAGTGATGTCTTATGCACATCTGAAATAAAATCTGAAGAGAAATCAAATCCTTTAAATCAAATGCAAGAACCAGAAAGAACTTCCCAAACAAGGGGGATGCTAATTAAAAACAGAAGGAAAACACATTTATTGAGCATCTACTGTGTGGCCGGAACTGATTTAGACAATTTTAAGTGCATTATTCCATTCAGTTCTCTGAATAGCTCTGGAAAGGGAGAATGCTCTTCCTTATTGGTAAAGTGAGTATAGTAAGGAAGCCAAGCTAGTATAGGATGGAGCCAGGTTTCACTAGCTTGTCTTGCACTACTATCCATGATTTTTTCACTACACAGTACTGCCGCCACTGGGATGGAGAAAAAGGATTAAAAATAGCAAACCCTCACAGTCCAGAATTGTGGTAAAAGCAAGCAAACCTGCAGTTCCACGGCGCTGCAAGTCCTGAGGAAAATTTGGGAATTACCCAAGAGAAGTTCTAGGGGCAAAAACAAAAACAAAAACACCAAACCATTCCTGATTACTGTGGCTTGTGATTGTAAAGTAACCGCCCCCCCTCCCAAATCATCATCATTTTCTCTGTTTTAATTATGGTGGAAAAAAGGGGGACTGGAATAATCTCCAGGCTCAAAAAACACACATTGTTATTTTCTAGGCAGAAAGAACCAGAAATGATTGACAGAAGCAAGACTCTAACCGTGATAATCAGGAACAAAAAAGTTATGAGGGCAAAGCATAGCAATTAGGGGAGCCACAGAGTTTCACATTTTCCTCTGCTCATTAGCACACTGGATAGGGAAAGTGAGGCGAGATGGTGTAGCCATTACCAGTCGGATCTGAATACCTTATTCCTTCCTGGTTTTGTGTTGCTTGCAGTTACTCAAGCATGCAGACTACAGCACTCCCCCTGATCAATTCCCTTCCATATTTCAAGAGCCGCAAGGGCAACGATGAGCCATTTGACATTTGCAATCCGTTCATAGGGCAGCGGCTGAAGGCTCAGCTGCTGCAGGAACAGACTGTGGACCAAGACTGTCAGCTCAATTAGCAGCATACGCGAAACATGATGGAGAAGCCAGTTCCTCTCACTCCTTGGACATCCTACCTTTTAGAAGGCTAACTAGGTATAAAAAGAGCAGGGGTTGCACATTTCTCCTCAGGCCAGACATCCAAGGCGGCGCAGCACCCGACCCAGTGGCAGGGTGTTAATTAAATTGGGCTTCTTGAGTTAAAACACTGCCACGGGTGCCAGGCCCTGCCGATGAGGACAGGTCTCCCAAGCACTCTTGGTCCAGCTTTGTGTTTAAGTAGTGAGATAAAAAGAACACTGTCTCAAGTATCTATCTTTAAGCGATGAACTCATACCCTTTAAAGAAGGCTCTGAAGCCCACTAATTTCACTAACCTCCATCTCTTCTTTTATCTCAACTAATCAGGAAAGGGTAAAATTCCAGTAAGACCATGAAACACAATAAAAATCACCTGAATGTTGGTTTAACCTTTAGTTTTTATCTGATAATAATTCATGGTCTACGTAACACCACTTTAATAGTTAATCTACTGCGGAGAATACCAGGTTCTTCTTTCAGAGATTTTTTTTGTTTGTTAGTTTTCTGTTTTTTGTTTTTGTTTTTTCCTTTCCCTAAACTCAAATGAGTCAATGGAAAAGAATCAGTGTCAAGACTGAGGATAATCTGAGGTGAGCAGAATAAAAATGAACGGGACACTGGTTGGCGTTACGTTTATCCTAGACCAGGTAGGAGACAGCAGGAGGCAGAACAGAAAGGACCAGTTCTGAAACTCAAGCGTGTGTCAGAATCACTGGAGGGATCACTCACATGCAGCTTGCTCACCTCATCTCAGGTTCTAGAATCAGAAGTTTTGGAGTGGGGCCCAAAAATGTGTATTTCCAACAAGTCCCCAGGAGACCTAATGCTGCTGGTCCCAGGACCATACTTTGAGAAGCACTGGCATAGCGGTTAAGGGCATGAGCTTTTAAGTCAGGCGTGGGTGAAAATCTGTCCCTGTGTGACCTTCCATGGGCAAGTTACTCAGCCTCTCTAATCCTCAGATTCCCCATCTGTAAAGGGGAGATCATGATTCTTCCATCATAGAGGGGATTAAGTAAGATAATGCATGAAAACCACATGTCACAGGGATACAGGAAAAAATGGAGCATCAGAGGATGGACATGACCCAGGTCTCTGTTGAGTCTCTAGGAAGCACCCTGCCAAGTGAGGATCCTTGGCTTCACCCAGGAAAGGATTCAAGAGCAAGCCACAGCTGAGTAAAACTAGATTTATTCAGAGAGATACATACTCCATA